GTGTGTGTGTGTGTGCTTTATTTGATTGCCTGTCTTCCGTCTTCATTTGCGTCATGATGTGGTTTTGTGCATAACACCTCAATGCACACGGAGCCCAGAACCCGATTCACCGAACGAACGCAGGCATGAAAGGGCTTAAGCACGCTGTGCGGCAAGCCCCCGCAGTCTTCATTCCTAATCGCAGCCTCCTTAGCCATAAGCCGACACCAGACCTGGAGTCGCAATCTCCACTGCATCCTCAGCTGCCCAGAATTCCGAAATCCCACCTCCTCGACTCTGCTCGGTACCCAGGCGGTCAATTTCTACACTCGCAGCTCTCGGGTCAGGTCAAGGCCGGTACATAGGGGGGAGGTGGCGGTGATGCACTATAGTATCCCATATAGATCCCTTATAGTAACCCTTATAGACCCCTTTAAAGGAACCCTGGTTTCTTAATCAGATTCCGGTTGATGTGGGGTTTCGTTTATCGTCATATCAAAAGCAGTAGTAGCCGTAGTAAGCTTGGGGTGGTGGCAGCCGTAGTGCTCGTCGTAATAGTAAGCGGTCGTTGCCGTCGCCTTTCCGTTTTTTCTGGTCGTCGCGTCGACGTCGTGGTGGCATTCATGTTCACCTTGATGGTCTCCGCTGGCTTTCTTTTCAATCCGATAAATAAAGCTATCGTTAGTTATCCTCGTCATCAACAGCAGCAACAGCAGCGATGACAACAGCAACTACAGCAAGCATACGCGTGACAATACCAATGGCAGTGGGTAACAATCGCAGCAGCAGTTCCAACAGGGCCGGTCCAACGCAGCTGCAGCTCAGCTTTCGTCCGATGACGTGAAGGCCGGGTTCATTGCGAAGATGTTTGCTCGCACACGGTTTAGGGTTTAGGGTTCAGGGTTTAACATCAATGGAAGCATGAGCTGCTGCCAAGCCTCTGCAGTCTCCGCATTCCATGGAGTCGGATCGTATAGGTTGGTTTGTGGCTGCTGCGGACGGGGTTCTTTGTGCCAGGGACAACCTTCGCAACAGCACTCCAAACCTGAAGCCCTAAGCCGTAAACGGCCCTAAACCTCAAACCTGAAGCCCGTAACCGCCCTCAACCGTAATTAAACACCAACCCAAACTCCAGAAACCACACGCGACGGCCCAAGCCCCTCCCCCTGCCCTGCACCCGATGCCCCAAAGGCCGACTGAAAAAATCAAAACGCAAAGTCCTACCTATCCCACATGTATAAAGCCCTTACTTACCTTCGGTTAGTAGGGATTGGAAGAATGTTAGTAATAGTAGTCATAATTGTACCCCATTCCTCCATTCGCTACTAACCAAAGGTAAGCTTAGAGGAGCACTGCTTGAACAAGCCAGATCAGCTCCATAAACCGTAAACCCCAAGCCCTAAACCCCATAATCCCTACAAGGAACCCTGATGGAACCCTAAAGGGCAGATCCAAATCCCAATCCCTAATCCTTTCAAGGAGCTTCGTGTGTACTCCCTAACCCCCAAAATCCTAAAGCCCAAACCCTAAACCCTCAGGGCAGACGGAAAAGAGGGTTCAAAAACACCACTAAACCCTGAGGATTCAGGATCCCTTACAGGAGCTTTTATGGAACCCCCAAAATCCTAAAGCCTAAGAGCCCTTAGGATCCCTTAGAGCATCCCTTTTAAAGGAGCTCTTATGGAGATCCCAGCGCCAGATCGAGGTGTTTCCCCTCACCGAAGCCTCCCACGATTGTCTGATTCTGGGGAGTGCGAGTCTCCTCCGAGGTGCCGCGGAGATCGGGTCCAAGGGTTTGGGTTTTGGGGTTTAGGGGTTTCAGGGTTTAGGGTTTAGGGTTTAGGGTCTAGGGGTTTAGGGGTTTGGGATTTAAGGGTTTAGGCTGAGGATTTAGGGGTTAAGGGTTTAGGAGCTTTAGGGTTAGGGGTTTACGGCGAGTCGGGTTTAGCGTGTAGAGTTTAAGGTTTACGGGATAATACGGGCTAGTATGTTTTTTTTGGTTTCGGGCTTCGGGTGCCTTTTAAGGGTTCTGTGAGGGTTTTAGAAGTGTTAGGAACCGGGCCTGAATTACCAATATCGCTCCTTGGGGTTCTTTCTTATGATTACAATGACTACACAATAGTAAACCCCAGAACCCTTCTCTTAGAGTTGAAGCCCTGAGGCTACTTGGAGGATCAGGGGACTTAGAAAGTAAGTGATAAGTACCCTAATTCGGGTTATAAATACTTATAAGTATAGTAGGCGTTCTGGATCGAACCTCCGAGCTCGAGGTATAGCCAGAACCCCAGTGCTGTAGCACGTGAGAGCCATAGTGCGATCTCCTGCGTGGCACCGACAGCTCCGCAGGAAGCGGACCCAGGCTCGCCACCGTATCAGGGAGGTCAGGCAATCGGGGGCCCATCCGAGGAGCTCCGACTTGGTGCTGCTTGCGGCACACCACAGTGCACCACAATACAGAGAGCTGCGGCAGTACATGGGCAAACAAGCCAAGGGATGGGGCGGTTATCAACCGCCATGGAAGTGGGAGTCCTACCCTCAACAGCCCAAACAAGACGACAGGCCATGGCACTTATGGCATGGTGCGCATTCTTCTGCCTCGCCTTCGAGATACGACCAGGTCACGCTGCAGGATTCCCGGAAGCAAGCCGGGGATTTACCGGTAGAGGAGAACGAGGATGCGGCGGTGATGAAGGAGGTGCAAAAGATGCTTTCCATGGCCAGGCGAGCGGATGCCCGGGTTCGCAAGCTACAAGAGGAAAAGCGTCGGAAAGATGCTCTTTGGCAGCAGTATCAAAAGGATGTCAAGGCCCGCTTCGCGAAACAGCAGCTGGAATACGAACAGGATCTGGTCAGGATCCAGACGGACAGAGAGCAGGCCATACGGCAAGGCCAGCAGGCAGCGACTGCGGTGCGCAACCTGGTGGTACATGGGATACAGAAGGAAAAGGCCGATTCCTCTCGGGCCGATGCAGCCTGGGCTGCACTTATGACCCAAGATCCGGAACCGACAGGAGTACCGACAGCGTTCCTCAGGGATGCCATGCAAGCAGCGTCGCTGGCTGGAGGACCACGACCTATGATGACAGGCCATGGAGGGGCAGGCCAACCTCCTCCGGAGCAAGGTGGTCACTCCATAGCGACTCCTTTTCATGGTGCTTGGAAGCTCCCACACCGCCGGGTCTGCGAATGACGATGGACCAGCCAGACAAGCATGCCACCTACGCCGGGGATCCGAATGGTGGCATGGCCCCCTCGCACTCGGGTCATGTCAGCGGGCCTCCGGGAGGCCCACAGGTGCCCAATGTTGCAGAACACCCAGGACAGATGGGCCTCTTTACAGGGGGTCCCCCCTTTCAGGGCTCTCCCAGTGCCCATGCGATGAAAATGGGCACCTCACCGGATGCAGCGTCTACGACTCGCAGCCGTTCTGTCGCCAGCAGAAGACAGGTCAAGCCGAGGACTCCTCCAGCGCCTATCCCTGCGGGAGGACCTACATTGGAGTCCAAGCTGGAAGCCCGTCGTGCTCGGGAGATGGGAGTTGCCATGAGGCCCTTCGGCATCGGGGCGATCGATCCCACTCTTCCAGAAGCGGTAGCACCCAAGGTGGTGGTTGCAGAGGGCCCCCTGCCCGCTCACGAGCCCGTGGACATAGGTCCACCAGATCCCGGACAGCCAGGCGGTTTGCGATCCCGCCCCACCTTCGAGGAAGACGACATCACTGGAGACGAGGCCACGGAGTCAGCCATGGACAATCTGGAATGAGGCCATCCAAAGCTCAGGTTCAGGCATTCGGGGCTGCCGACCTCGTGTCGACTAATGCTTGCAACAGCCTGGCAGGGCCGGTGAATCTTGTGCTACCTGGGGTTGTAGCACTGGGTTCCAGGTTCCCTTTCGGGCAATGTGCTAGCATTGGAGTCGACACCCTGTCACAGGCTGCCTGTCCTCCAAGTCCACGTCCTGTACAGCTTGTACAGATTGTATATCCTTGCGGGTTTCCTGTTGGGACCCGTGATTTTCCAGTAGGCTGCCATTGGATCGAAGCTTGCATTCCTTCATCCCGTCCACCACAGGGCTCCCTCATGCCTCTTTATTGTTCCGTTCGCACGAAGCCTCGTCAGGATTTTGCCATGCTGATCCACTCTTGCCCTCAGGATCGGCTGCCGGACAAGGTTTCAGGTCGGAGGTTTTGCTTGAAGGCTTCACAACATATCCACTGCGTTGCATCTAGCCGAGTGCCTAACAGTCGTATCGGTGGCGCTGGGACGACGACCGGCCATGCAGCAGTGCTCTTACACATCCCAGGCCAAGGCGCCTATTTGTTTGGCTGCCGCCTGGGGAAGGGGCTTTCCCATTGCCTTCACCCTCCTCCCCCTAGTGGTTTAGGTCTCCACCTTGTCGTCCCTCCGTGCTTCGGTTTAGTGGTTTGTACCAATGCACGTGATGAGTCCTGTGGAGACGACGCCATTACCAGCCCTTGCTGTTCGGCGTCACAGAAGACAGGCCTGTCCGAGGGAGGGACTCCGACCATGCTCCAATTTTCTCTGGCACATGTGGCTTCTTGGGTAGTTCCACTTTACCGTCATGCGTGCCTTACGGTCTTTATTTGGCTGCTCATGCTACTTTTGAAGCCATTACGTCTTCATAAGCACCTGCCAGCCGCCCTACGAGCCCCTACTGGCACTGCAGCACCTTACAGAGTGCTTCTTCCCCTCAGCATGCATGGGCTGACATACGACCGACCAGGCTCCAGACGGGACCAGGACTGGCATTGTCGGAAGCCACGTGCAGGGCAACCTATGCCTCGAAAACGGCAAACTTTGTCGTGGTTTTGGGGTTCTCTCCTACTGGGGGTGCCAAAGTGTGTTGGGGCTGCCTCACCTTTGTGGGGAGAGGCAGTCGACATCCTGCTCGCAATAGCGCGTCTTTGTCCGGAACCTTTACCAGCAACACCCCCTTTCTGTCAGGCCGACTCTGTTCTCAACGATTTTGATTTGGAGCGCAGGTGCTGCATTGCCTCACAGATGCGCCAGGCTGCGCTCGGCAGCATTGTCCTTCAGAACGATGACATCGGCCCTGTAGAAGAAGGTGATGCCGCAGGTGTTGACACAGATTCCGAAGTCGGGCGCACAATCATGACTTGTCGAGTCTTTGTGCCCCACTTCCATGTAAGGACCGTCGAGTTCGACCTACCCCTACCCTGCCCATACCAGGTCCTCTTAGACACGGCCAAGAGAGCTTTGCGTCTTCCGGACAACGGTTTCAGCCAAGCTGTTGTTGCAACAGTACCGCAACTGTCACCGGACCACGGCACCCTAGTACTGGTACCAGATTGGGTTGCTAGCTCTGGGCTAGAGGTAGTGGTTTTTGATTTCGAGCCGCTGAACGGTCCAGCATATGCCGCCTACGTTGACCAATCACTCAGCCACTGGGACTGTGTGCGGGAGGCCCGACACCAAGGCCTCGAGGATTGGGACGTATTCGCCTTCGGGGGGTCTAGACCCTTAGCCAGCGGCGACACATGCCTCGCTGTTCCGGGTGGCGTGCTCCAGTTTCGTCCGAAGGGTCAGTCCCCGTGGTGTCACGGCACGCTCGCTGCCCGCCTTGATCGCCCGCAGTGGTGGTTTGCAGAGCCCCGCTTGCCTTCCGCGCCTGTCGAGCGACCGCTCTTCATATCCTATGGCGACCAGCATCTACTGTTTTCAGGTCGCAGGTACCCCGGGGTTGATGTGCGGACCTTCCTTGCTGATCTTGTGGATCGCGCCCCAGGCAATGTACTCCTAGGTGCTGCCACCGGTCCAGCCCTAAGCGATATAGGATTCCATGGCCATCAGTGCAGGGATGCAATGGCGGTTGTTCCGCTTACGCCGACACCGGAGCGCACAGGCCACCTTATATGGCTTGATCCTAGGTTAGCCAATGCTCCCGTCCAGCATGTTTACATCGAGGATCACCGAGTAGAGGTTAACTTTCTGACAAGGTACCTTGCGATCAGGCCGCCACCTGCATACAGGCTAGTCTGTAGACCAAGGCCTGACAGGCGAGGCTGCCTCACCCTCAACGAAGGCGATGTAGTTTCCTTTGGGTTTGTACTTTCAGAAGTATGGGACCCTTGGGGTGAGATAGGGGGCAGCTCATCTTCAGGTGCGTCAGAAGACAGCGATTCTGATACCGACGCGCCTCCACATGCTCATGGAGGACCCCCTCGCGGGCCTCCCCCACCGACACCGGTCAATATGCCTGCACCAAGCACCGCCGAGGTACCACACAATAGTCCAGACAGAGCGAGATCTAGGAGCCGTGGGCGGACACTTAGATCCGATCCAACGCCGCCTGCTGCTGCAGCTCTCATTGCCTTTCTTGCCAGTCAGGAAATCAGTACCGCCGACGCGGCTAAAGTTTGGGATGCTTCTGATCGGTTCCATGATTGGCGGATGCTTCGCTCTTGTCTTGCGGTATGCTTGATGGCCATCGTGGTGGGCGTCCTGTGCTTCTGTCTTACACGACGGCAGTCTGCGAAGGCCTCCACAGCTGGTGGTTCCCCTCATACCACCTTCAAGCCTCTGCCCTGCCGCGCCACACAGCCCAGAATCCCTATCTGCCGCATGCGCTTGCTAACGGAGCCCGGTGGTTCATGTCCCGCCAGCCGCTCTATTATCCGGAGGCTGCGTCAAGTCACATTGGACTTTGGAGGAACGTGGCCCTATATCACAGATCCAACTGCAGATCCCTCCGTGCCTTCAGGAGCTTGGTCGGATGGCGAAGACAGTACTCCCACAGAGGAATGGTTGTGGGTTTGCTTCACGATCCTAATGCCAGGGTTTGCCCCGGAGACCCGCATGGTCCAGCTGAGCTTCCCAGCTACGCTTGAAGAGGCGTTAGTTACTGCCCAACAGGCAAGGCAGGCCGACATTGCCGGACAGTTTCCGCACCTCATTGAGGCCTCCCCACAACCTGTCCCAGGACATGGCATCCTTTTGGGAAGCCCCAACTGGGCAGCCTCGTCTATGCTAGTATGTTTCGATTTGTCGTCCATTCGAGGCAGCATTTTTGCAGAAAGGGTGCCACCATACTGTGATAGATATGCTCTCCTGCGAGCCGCCTCCCTGCCAGACGATGCCCCCTACTCCGTTTTTGTCGGCTTCTATGAAGAACCCCTTGAAGACGGGGTGGACATACACATGTTTCCAGGCGAGACCGTCTGCTTCAGGTGGCCAGGCCTTCGCCACGAGCATACCATTTCCATGACACAAATGCTGCAGGACCCTGCCCCATGGCGTGGCACTCCTCCTTTTCCAGCGCAGGAGCCTGCAGGGGTCTACTGCCTAGTCAGTGAGTACGGAGAGAGTCTGCTCCAGGCTGCTCATATGGACCCTTTTCGCTACAGGCGGGCCATAGCCCAAACTGCCCGGCTAAGTTTGGATAGTTTGGCCACCTTTCCGGCACGGCCCAGATCCAGTAACACCGCCATTGCTGGAACCACCTGCCGCACAGTGATCGCAGTTGCGGAGAGACCGGACGGCCCTGGCATCTTGCACTCCTTGACTGCCGTGTCCTGCTCACAGGTTGGCAGCTTGTTGAAGTTAACTCAGGTCGGGCCTCCGCCTGGGATCTGCTTGAGGCCCTCAGACATGCCATACCGGCTGGTTGGCTGCCATATTTTGATCTCGAGCCGGATGCTCATGGCTTCCTATCTCTTGAGCCTGGACAGGTGATTCGTGTGCACACCCATCCAGACAGGCCAGCTCCTCTGCGACCTGTTGCAGCAAGACTCACACAAGCAGTATACGAAGCCAGGGACATCCCGATCACAGGCAATCAGGTCCCTTTTGTCGTCTATACTCCAGAGACCATTGCCGAGTTCGTTGAAGTCTCTCTCATACCGGGCTGCGGCACCAGGGATGCTCTAGCCTGTCTCAATGCGAAGCGAGGGCCGGAGGCATACTCTTTCTTCCCAGGACTTGTTGAGGTCTTTCCACAACCAGACCCAACGTATTGTACAGTGTTGGCTGTCACACGTTGGCAACCACCAGGGATCTTTGTGATGTTTGACTGTCGTCATTGGGATGACAGAGCCTTCGCAGCCGTTGTGCCGAGCAAGGTCAACCGACGCTCACTCTTGGCTATTGCTCAGATAGATGTCGATGCCAATGCCTGGGTCTATGTGCGGGACTCACCCTGGCCGCTTGCCGTGGATTTTGCTGTTACTCTTGCACATGGTGATCTTATCAGCATCGCCAGGCCTGACCACCCCACGCTTATTGCTTCAACTCTGCATGATCTCCTGCAGCAAGATACGGAGTGGCCAGCCGGTCTCCCTCCGGGACATTACGACGGCAGACTCTGGGTCTTGTGCGACCCAGAGCCCTTCCCTCTGCTCGCCCCAGCCCTCACCGAAGACGGTCTTAGGCAGCAAATCGCGCAAGAGCTTGAGGTGCCGGCCAACTCACTGGTGCTCCAAAACCCCGAGCCCACGGTTTGGGATCATGTCAATGTTGGTCGAGCTTCCAGAGATGTGCTCCGCACATGTCCACGACGGTCACGACGGAGCTCTGCAGGATAGTGTCTTCATTGTTGACCGGAGGCCTATCTTCTTGGGAATCGCCAGTGACACTGCCGAAGGGGGCCTCCTCCATGCCGATGTGTATGCCAATAGGTTCCGGGGACTCTGTCCAGAGGGGTTTCAGACACTGCTGCACCGCCGCTCCAATGGTGCTCCCCTCCAGTTTGGACCACAACATATTCGCCCCGGAGAAGTCATTGTGGTTTCCTTCGACGATCTTCAGTCTTCAGGGTTTCACAGAACAGGTGCCACGGACACCCGTACTGAGACACTTGAATCCCTGTCACGGGATCACACTTCACCTGATATTACCTCGCAAGGGCCTGACACGCACCAGAGAGCGCTCCCGCGTGCAGCTCCTGACCCCAGCACTGCACCACAGGATAGTGCAGCAGAGGAACCCACCGGGTTCTGTACACAGACTTTCAGTCGAGTAGTCAAGCGGACACACAGATTTGCAGCTGGGCAATTAGGCCGCAGCCTCTGTGGGTTCGCCTCTGTCCTCCTGGGTCTCTGGCTTATTGCCACCATAGTCCTCGCTCGCAGCCAGGCAACCACCTTCCTTGGTCTCTACGTGTGCCGACATCTCCACGGCCGGACTGACCTTCTGAGCCTATATCTGCTAGCAGGACTGCTTCTGCTCCCTGCATATGCTGCCCCCACTGAGGATCGATGCCACTACGGCGCAATGCCAGACAATTGACTCCGCTGCCCTCTTTGCAGCAGCGTGCCAATACGGGCGGCAGCTTGCCAGGCCTCTCCCCACCCCGTGCCGTTCCCCTCGTGTCGCCGACGTGGGTCTTGGTACCATAGGGCCAACCCTTTTGGAGGAAAGTGTGCGACAGCCCGGCAATCATGCCCTCTTTGATGCAGCTACTTTGCTCGATGTTCTGGAAGAACATTTCCACTCGAGCACGCGTCAGGCTGCTCGGGTACAACATCCTACCGATCCAGCCAAGGACATTGCCAGTTCCGATGGCCTCGGGACATGCAGCGAGGACCTCCCTCCCTCCCGGGCCGAAGCCCTCCGCCTGCACGCTCTCCTGCCAGTCACTTCTTACCAGGCCGATGTGTTACGGCTACAGGAGCTACTGCCTCAGGCTGCTTCGCCCGGACAGTCTGACTGGCTTGATGCCGACATCAGCTTTCTGTTGAGCGATCCCAAGGTTCCTGCCCATAAAAGGGACCTGTTTGCTAAGATTCGCACCTGGCATCAGGTCCCCAAGTCTTATCTTCCTGAAAGGATACTCGTGTACTCTGATGGCTCTACGGTCATGGACCAACACAGAGCTCACGACTGTGCACCAGGGGCTTGGGCGATCTCCGCATGGATCCAGAGTGCAGGCGAACTCTTCTTGCTCGGGCAGACGAGCGGCACTACCAGGCCTCCAGAAGACCCCTTCCACATTGGCGAGCTCGGGGACAGTGCTCTTGTTTGTGAGTTATTAGGTGTGTCTTGGGGTTTGGTTTGGGCACTTGAGTACGCGCCTGCATGGGGCATACCTGCACACATGATGTATGACTGTTTAGCCGCCGGACAAGGCACTTTCGCCGAGGTCCGTGTTGCCGGACAGCTCCCCCCCAATGGGGGAGGCCTTGCCGCCTTTGCGACATACCTCCGTCAATTAGCCTCGCAGAGGTTGCCCCTGGGACATGGCTATGTGCCGGGGCATGCGGGAGATGTCGCGAACGAGCTCTGCGACGAGTTAGCCAAACATTGCCGCAGACATCTGCCAACGGCCGACCAGATTATGTTACCCTCTTGGCCGGCGCAAGTTTACCAACATCCCCTCAAGGCGTGGATGTGGCTCGCAGGTTCTAATCTTTCTGATCTTCCCACCCTGTTTGCTTTGGAAGCAGAAGCCTGGCGCCTGCAAAGAGCCCCACTGCTCCCATCTACAGACCCGTCGATGGGATTTGTACCCAGTGTTCAGTCCGGCAACCCCGTTGGTATAGGGGGGGTCTTGATGACATTTAATGTTCTGTCCATGTATGACCCCAAGAGTCAGGCACAGCCAGGACAAGGCCCCGGTATGCGTGTCACTGCCAAACGTGACCTTCTTAAGCACCAGCTGACACGCCTCGGTGTCTTACTGTTCGGCATACAGGAGACCAGGATCTCTAGGACTGAAGTTCTGCCAGACCGGGACTTCATCATGTATCACGCCGCTGCGGATGCCAACGGACACCATGGTGTGGCCCTGTGGATTTCACGACATGTCTCCTATGGCAGCTCGGATAACAAGCCGCTATGCATCCGTCCGGAACACGTCACCGTGACCGGTTTTTCTTCCAGACATCTCACCGTGCAGATATCGGCTCCCTTCATCACGTGGACAGTGCTAGTGGCGCACGCGCCCTCAGAGCCTCCCGCCGCACCTGGTTCTTCTGACAGTTTTTGGGCCCGGTGCAGGCACGACTTGTCAAGGCGCCCTAAAGGCTCGGATGTGATAGTCCTAGCGGATGCGAATGCTTGGCTGGGCAACAACCCTTCCAGTGCTGTCTCCTCCTTGGATGCCGAAGTCGAGAATACGGCCGGGCAGAGCTTCCACCAATTCGTGTCGGATCAAGAGCTCTGGCTGCCATCAACTTTTGCCCAATGCCACAGCGGCCCGTCCGCCACCTGGACGGCCCCTTCCGGCCACCAGCACCGCCTGGATTACATAGCTGTCCCACAAACCTGGTCTCCGGATGCCCTATGCTCGTGGGTGCAAGCCGATTTCGAAGCTCTGCAATTACACCCTGACCACACTCCTGCAGTACTCCGTTTTCAGTACGAACAGTCCCCCAAGACCATACACCGGGGCCCTGGGGTATATGCCAGACGTGCCATCCGCCCGACCCTTCCGGCAACACCTGCATATCTGACAGCCGTGCAGCATCTGGTTTGCAGCGCTGCGACCACATGGGATTGTCCCATTGATGGCCATTACCAAGCACTTATCAAGGGCTGGGGTCAGGCTGCTGTTCACCTTCAGGCACCGGTTCGCGCCCGTCCGGTTCAGGCTTACATACAGCCCGACACGCTCGAACTTGTCGGTCAGCGGAAAGGTCTGCGGGAATACCTGTGGTGGCAGAAAAGCGGGTACCGCCGTAGACTGCTCCTGCTTGGCTTTGCAGCCCTTTTGCACTCCAGACTAGGCACCTCTTTCTCACCACCAGCGGTTTCGCGATTTCGCGGGTGGATGCACGAGGTGCGCTGCAATATCGCACAATTGTCGGACCGTATTCATGGCATCGGTCTAGAACTGCGCGCTGCGGTACGCCGTGACCGTGCAGCCTATCTTGCTAGCTTAGTCCAGGAAGTCACCCTCGCCGACCTTCGGAACCCTAAGCATCTGTTTCGTGCTGTCAAGAAGGCCTTTCCGGCTGCAGCCTCCAAGCGTCGTCAGGCGTTTCAGCCCCTCCCCGCTGTTGAAGGACAGGATGGAAGTCTTGCAATAGACTCCGCACAGCGAAGGGAGTTATGGCGGGCACATTTCGCAGCCCTCGAAGACGGGGAAAAGCTTGAGCCCGGACAGTACCCCAGCGTATTGTCCAGTCAGAAAGCGGCTAACAGCCTTCGGCGCCCTGAGTTTGACATCCGAGTCGTCCCCTCCCTGACTCAAGTTGAGAACCTAATCCTCGGCCTGAAGAGGGGCAAGGCTTGTGGGCAGGATGGGGTGACGGGGGAACTGCTCCGCGCCGCCCCGGCGCAGGCGGCCCGAGCCCTCTTTCCCATTTTTACTAAGAGTGTGATGGGGGTCCAAGAGCCCATTGAATTTCGCGGAGGCACCCTCATGCCGCTTGCGAAGAAAGCCTCCGCAGCATTCAGCTGTAGCAAGTTCCGCGCCATACTCCTATCGTGTGTTCCCAGCAAGATTCTGCACCGACATTTGCGTGAGTGCTTGAGCGCTCACATCGAGCCGTGTGCCCTGCAGGCCGGGGTTCTCCCTGGAGCTAGCACGGAGTCCATTGCCTTGGCAGCCAGGGCCTTTCAGGCCTGGGCACAACATAGCGGCCTCACCTGGGCCCTTTTGTTTTTCGATGTACGCTCGGCATTTTATTGCATTATCAGGCAGCTCCTCTTGCCAGTAGGGGACAGCGACAGAGCCCTTCAAGCTCTTTTCCATCGCCTGCACATCCCTCCCACCGCATTGCATGAGTTGAGAGATCATCTTGCCAGTCTTGCCACGATTCCGGCCACCGACTGCAGTGCCCACTTGCAGAAGGTTGCGGTTGACACCCTCCAGGGCACGTGGTTTAGATTAGACCAAGATAGTGTTATCACTCTCACCCATTGTGGAACGAGGCCAGGTGATGGCCTGGCCGATTTACTTTTCGGCTTTGCCTTTAGCGCCTATCTGCGCTCTTCCGACCAGGCCTTGCAACAAGCCGGCCTAGCCACCCCTACCCCGCCCAGAGATCCCCTGGAAGCCTGGGACACGTCCGATGCCCCCCACTACCTGGGCTGTGGCTCCTGGGCGGACGACTATGTGCACATGCACGCACAGCGGGGGAGTCAGGATCTCGGGCTCCGTGTTCAGCAGATAGTCTCCATTTATGTCGGCCGAGCCGACTCCATCGGCATGAGCCTGACATTTGCGGCCGACAAGACTGCTGCACTCCTCCAATCTCAGGCCGCCAGTCGTGACTCCTCTTGGACAGGGCAACAGGATGACTCCGGGCCATATCTACCCATAGTCAGCCCAGTCAGCGGGCAGGACTACCGCCTTCCAATAGTTGATGTGTACTGCCACCTCGGGGGCATTGTCACAGCCACTTTGACACCGAGCCCGGAGATCGGTCTCAGATACTCCCTAGCGGCGAACACGGTCCGCACCTTACGGCGCAAGTTGTTTGGGTCGCATCATGTCCCAATTGCGACACGTAGGGCACTGCTTCGCTCGCTAGTTCTGTCCAAGTTCGTATTTGGGAGTGCAATGCTCAGGTTTGGTTCGGCACTGCACTACCGCACCTGGTGCCGCCATTATATCACATTGTGGCGAGCCCTCCTTCCGTACAGGTCTGGTGACAAGACGCCACATGCTTATACGGTTCTGCAGACAGCCGTTGCCCCCACACCCCCTTTAGCGCTTGCCTTGGCCCGCGCTGTTCTGCTGAGGCAGCTAGTTACCAAGGGGCCAGGAGCTCTGCGCAGGCTCCTTTGGGCACAATGGCAGGCCGACCCCAAGCATGCTTGGTTAGCACTTGTTGTCAAAGACCTTCACCATGTCGCACAGTATACCCCGGCAGTGCGCGTCGTACTTGACGCCCGGTGCCCCCTACACGCACTGATAGAGACCGCAGCTGACGAGCCTCTGTGGTGGACCAAACAGGTCAAAAAGGCCGCGCAACTATGTGCCAGTGACCTGCAGCATTGGGACCACTCTGCGTACGCGAATCTCGCCTGCCCTGGGGAAGCCGACGCCCCACCTCAGTCACAGTTAGACCACCCATCGCCGCCTACCTTCACCTGCGAACACTGTGGCGCAGCCTTCTACCTGCGCAAGCACCTCTCGGTCCACCTTGCCAGACGCCACGGCGTGATTGCCATAACACGCCAGCTGGCACCGACTTCGGGATGCTTGGCGTGTATGAAACAGTTCGGCAATGTTGAGCGGGTTCAATATCACCTCAAAAGCTCGCCGAACTGTTTGCGTCGGGTTGCCATGCTGATAAGGCCCCTAACGTTAGAGGAGGTGCAAATAACGGAGAAGGGTTTTAAGGACCAGGCTCGCAAGGTAGTCAAGGGTAAATGGGAGCTCTACACAGCCCCCAAGACCGTGTCCGTTGCAGCCGGACCACCTCTGCTAACGGCCCAGGAAAGGGTAGAGGCGGAGGGTGAAGACATGCTGCTTTCGATCCTTTCTCGCTTGCATCATCCCTGCCCAACCTTCCTCCAAAGAGTGGAGGAGTACATCTCCGGTCGCTCCGTTGAAGGCCCGCGCAACAGTGCCGCAGGCTTCTGGGATCGCAGGCCGGGTGATGTTTTTCTCGTTTCACAAGCACGCCGAATTCAGGTTTAGTGGACGCGCCCCCGCGGCACCAGAGTCCGACAGGAAGGAAGGTATAAGTATAGTTACCTTATTTATTTCCCTAGCTACTAAGTCCCATAATCCTTTAAGTAAGGTTTATAGACTTCAGGCCGAGGGTTTAGGATTTCAGGATTAAGGGTATTAGGGTGTAGGAGTCTCACAGTGCAGCCGGGGTTTCGGTTCCAGGGTGTGGGATTTGGGAAGTGGCGGTTTTGACAGGGAGTGGGAGTCTGGAGCTTGCTTCTTTCGTTCATGGAGTGGAGGTTAAGGGCATTAAGGGCTTGTTAGGAATAGCAGTCCCTCGTAGTGCCTAATACTATAATATAGTTACCCCAGGCCCTACATACAGGATCATGAGACTTAGTAACTAGGGTTATAAATAAGGTAACTATACTTATACTCACTTATAGCCCCAATGAGGCGACTTATAACCTTACTTACTACGTCCCATGATCCTCCAAGTACTCCAGGTAGTCAGGCCCTCCTCTGTTAAGGGTTTGGGAACCGGCTCTCCGAAGTGCAAAGCTTGTTAACGTCGGAGGTCCCAAGGGTTGTGTAGTATCATGGGATATGTTTCTTGTCGATGAGGCTACCTTTATAAAGGGGAGCCGTGGTTCATCCAGCCCACCCCCGAATCCTCAATCCGGAAAATCTCTACGCCTAGGGTAAGATTGGGTTTTTTCCCGCTACCACAAACCTTAAACCTTAGACACGACTCCTTATAAACCCTTAAACCCTAAAGGCTTAAACCCTGAACCCTAAACCCTTAAACCTTAGACTCTCTTAAACCTTAGACCATAAACCCTTAAACCCTAAACCCTTAAACCGTAGACCCTAAACCCTTAAAGCGTTCACCCTAAACCCTGACGTAAACCTTGACCGTACACCCTCCCGACTCCCTCGAGGAACCACGCTGGCAGAAGTCCAGGCGGCTGTGAACACAGCGGACTCGCGGTGGGTTTGAAGCGTCAGCCTTCAACTCAGGGCTTTTTTGGCTCAGGGTTTCGGGTCTAGGGGTTTAGGGGTTAGGGGTTTAGGGTTCAGGGTTTAGGGTTTAGGGGTTTAGGGGTTTCTTTAGGGTTTAGGGGTTTCGGGTTTAGGGTTCAGGGCTTTAGGGTTTTAGGGTTTAGGGCTTGGGGTTCAGGTTTAGGCTTTAGGGCCTTTTAGGGTTGAGGCTTTAGGCCTCAGCCTGTAGGGTTTAGAGTTTGGGGTGAGGCATGAGGGTTTCGTAAGACGGATTACGGTTTGCGGAGGGTTCAGGGTCCAAGGATGTGAGGCCGAGAGTGTTGAGCTCATGGTATGAGAGCTTTCCCACGGCGGCACAAGGCTCCGGGCACGTACCACCTTATCATCATCATCACCATCATCATCATCCTCATCATCATAGCAGCACGTGCCCCGCCCGACCAGCGCCATCCAGCTCCACATGAGCATCAAGAAGCAACAGCAACATCACGCCTTTTTGTTTCTTGTAGTCGTGATGATTGTTGTTTCTGCTGCTTCTACTGCTGCTGCCGCTCAGGCTGCTGCTGCTGCTGCTGCTGCTGCCGCTTGTTGTTCTTGTTGTTGTCGTGATTGTTGTGGTGGTTGTTGTTGGTGGTGGTGGCGGCGGCGGTGGTGGTCGTTGCGGGGGGGTGGTGCTCGTTGTTGTTGCTGTCGTTGGCGATGAGCGCAGTCATGCGTAAACCCATGTCGGCTTCAACCCTACATCCAGCATGAACGCCACACTCGTCAACATCCATCCTCTAGTTAACAAACGTAAAATTCAGTCATGTCAGGAATCCTGTTATAAATTCGGGTATATTCCTTGATGCACGGGTGTTTGGACGGTCTTGGCACCCTAAACCCTGAAGCCTATAGATCCCTCATAGGTCCGTTAAGGGAATCCTTAAAGGAACCCACATTGAATGGGTTCTGGAAGGTCTGCTTGGAGGATCAGGGGACTTAGTAAGTAAGGTTATGAGTACCCAAACTGGGGTTATAAGTCATTATAAGTATAGTTGCCTTACTTATAACCCAAGTTACCAAGTACCATGATCCTTTACGTAGACCCTAAACCCTAAACCCCATAGATCCCTTCAAGGAACCCTATAGATCCCTCCAAAGAGCCATTTAAGAACCCTTACTAAGATCCTTTAAGTGGGTTGCCTTTATTCGGGCGCTGCTCCGCAGGACTCAGGCGACGCTCTGGCCGTGGCTGCGGCTGTCGGACAGAAGGCCAGCCCGTGATGTTGGGCATGCGGACCCTGACCCTAAAACCTTAACCCCTAAACCCCTGAACCCCTAAACCTCTGAAGCTTAAACCCTAAGCCCTAAACCCTAAACCCCAACCCTAAACCCTAAACCCTAGGTTTGGGATGGGCCGGATTGGCCGAATGCGGACACGAGGTTGTTCCAAAATGCTTCTCGGGGACTTATGATAACGTGCGTCGCTCCTATCATAGAGCTCACGCTAAAGAACTCCACGTCCCTGAATCCAAATCCCTTTAATAATCGAAACACTGATCCGGCCTGCAGTGGGCTGCTCTTTATCTTTTCGGCTTTGCAGAAATATCTCGCCATGTTTATCTAAGAAAAGGCCATCTGCATAGACCATGAATCATCGGAGCTCACCCTAAACCCTGAACCTCTAAACCGAAAAGCCTAAACCCTAAAACCCTAAACCCTTAAACCCTAAACCCTAAACAGCTACCGGCGTCTGGACCGATCATGAACCCGACACCTGGTGGTTTCCGTAGGTTTTAAGGGCCAAAGCCCCGACCTTGATTTCAAAAACTTTAACTAGGACCCAGAGTAGGCCCTTATTCCCTTTTTTAGGGTTCAGGTTCCCTTATAATCCCCTTGAAACCAAAAAGAGCACCCTTTTTAATCCTAGGTTACTCTTAGGTCTAGTTAAAACTACTCTAAGCCCTAAACCCTCCTAACCCTAAACACTACACCCTAAATCCTACCTAAACCCTAAAGTCTGTTTGAACCGTAAACCCTGAAACCAGAAAGTCCAGTTTTGTTAGCTGACTCTGCCATGAGGCAAAGAGCCGGCAGGTTCAGAAGACCACGGACAAGGCGTCTTCCTTGGGTCTCTAGTTCCCAAAGGGCCCAAGTAATAGCATCTATTAAGTAGCTACTATATTGGTACTTGGATCCTTTGAGGTTGTCTTCGTTTCTGCATGAGAATTTAAGCATGTGCCTAGCGGACAAGCAGCATTAAGAAGAAGAAGGAGAGCACGTTGTCTTTTCTGGGTTGAGGGTGGCATGTTTTTTTATTTAAGCTAGGGCTTAGGCTCTATAGGGTGGAGAAGATTTAGGTATCTGCGAGTAGAAACTAAAAATAGTGCGACCTAGCCTGAACCCTGAGCCGTTTCGGAAGTATTGTGCAGATGGGTTGGCAAATTGACTTTGGGGATCTACCGGACCTTAGGTTTCGTGGTAGGCGTGCAGGGCTTGAGGTTCAACGTTCAGTGGTTGGGGGTCTGCTTCGAGTTCAGCTTGGGGGTTCCTTCCTTCCAGTCCATGGCTTAAGGTTGGGTTGAGGGTTGAAGATAAATAAGGTAACTATACTTATATTTACTTATAACCCTCATATCCTTACTTACTAAGTCCCCTGATACTGCAAGTAGATCCTCAACCCTAAACCCTATAGATCCCTTTAAGGAACCCTTTACCCTATAGATCCCTTTAAGGAACCCAAAACCCTATAGATCCCTTTAAGGAACCCTATACCCTATAGATCCCTTTAAGGAACCCTATACCCTATAGATCCCTTTAAGGAACCCTAAACCCTATAGGTCCCTTTAGGGAACCCTAAACCCTATAGGTCCCTTTAAGGAACCCTAAACCCTATAGGTCCCTTTAAGGAACCCTACAGATCCCTTTAAGGAGCCCAGGGAAGGTGTTTGGTTTACCGGACTTCCCGGTCAATTCGATTAGATTTGTATTGGATGTGGGTGGTTGTGAAACTTAGGGTCCGGTTTAGGGTTTAGGGTTTTCAGGTCCCCTAAACGATAGGTGCCGTGCTATTATATAATAGGGACCCAACAAGGGACCATAATTTCGACAGCCACCCATGTGATTCTAGACTTTTCGGTTGGGAGTAGTACACCAGTGCTTCGACACCTACGTCCCGAAAGGCACATGTTGGTCAATGTAAATCCAACCCGAACCGCTTTCAAAACTTCTTTGCTTTGCCTGTAGTTTCAATATCCGAACCGTTCCCAAATACAGGGAACAGACAATGTGGACCTTGGTGCTCGCCTTGTTTTGTGTTGATTGCTACTGACTCTGTTGTATTAGAGCATGTGCTTATGGATAGGATACTATTGTCAACACTATTGCTTTTTTTTCTTTCTGCGTTTAGGGGTTTCATCCCGGCAAGTTGAACAGGCGTCATGCCGGGAGGTTACGTACATATGGTCTTCGTGTCTGAGGCGCTTCATTCATGTACTTGGCAAGGAGGCTTTTAGAGAACGCAATGCCCCTAAATCCAACGCCCTGAACCCCACACCCCGAACCGTCCACCCGCAGCCTTAAGCAATCTTTGGATAGGCCTGCTGGGTGCAGACCGAAAAAGAAGCCGGCGCACCTTGGCTGCAGCAAAGGCTTCAGTTTCACTGCATAGAGTATGCATGCTACAAGCAATGCAATATGCTTCCCAGCCGGCCTCGCTCATTCGATTGCCTGTTCTCGCTCTCTCTCTCTCTCTCTCTCTCTCTCTCTCCATCTTCTCTCCTTTCTCTCTTCTCTCGCGTTTCTCTCTTTTCTTTCTTTTCTCTCTTATCTCTCTGTTATCGTTTTTCTCTCTTCTCTTTTTTTCTGTCTTCTCTCTTTTCTCGTCTCTTCGCTTTTCCCTCTGTTTGTCTCTCCTCTCTCTTTTTTTACTTGTTTTTCTGTTTTGTCTCTCTTCTCTCTATTCTCAATATTCTTTCCCTCTCTTCTTTCTCTCTCTCTCTCTGTCTCTCTTCTCTCTTCTTTGTTCTTCTCTGTTATCTCTTTTTGTCTGTCTGTCTCTCTCTCTCTCTCTCTGTCTCTCTCTCTCCGGGTTTTGAGTTTCGGGTTGGGGTCTGCGGCTTAGGAACTTCCTTCGAATGACCGAGACCAGCGAGTAGCCCAAAAATCCGAAGGCCCATGCAAATTCAAACCCTCGGTTTAGCGTAGGGGTTTAGGGGTTTGGGGGTTTAGGGCGTTTAGGGGTTTAGGGGTTTAGGGTCTGGGTATTAGTTAGGGGGTTTGGGTGTAGGGTCCATTCAACCCCAAACCCTAACCCGGGCTGGCGGTTCGAATGCGAGGAGATCACTTGCTGCGCGATTCTCTGTCATCGCGGCGAGGCCCGAAAGCCGAAATTCAGGCTTTGTGTTGCGCACTTGCGGGCTTGTATAATATCAGGAGATGATGCTCAGAATCAGTCAGACGCCACTGGGGAGTCGTGGTGCTAGGATTGGTAGGAGCACTGGCAGGAGAACGGCGACTTCTGCTGCTGCTGCTGCTGCAGCTGCTGCTAGTCATGGTACTCGTACTACTCTTACTGCTCCTACTGTACTCGTCATCGTCGTTGTAGTGATGTTACTACGACGACTACTACTACGGCTCCTTATGCTATGCGACCAAATGCTTTCAATGACTACGGCGACGGTTTCCAGTATTTTTGCGACTGCCTGCAATCTCAGCACAGCACACACAATGCACTTACTCTTCAGGATATTGCGGACGATAGCGATATGAAGATTTCTGTTTCCTTCAGTTAGTCCGACGCCGGTTGCTGTGGAGAGGCCCTTGACAAAGCATCAGCGCAGCAGCAGGTGCGCTTTCACGGTCCTCGCACTTCGGTGGTCCGGTTTGAGGGGCTGTAGGGTTTTAGGGTTTAGGGATGCGTGTGGCAAAGAGGTTTACGGGGACGGAGCATAGGAAGTTGATCAGCGCAAGAGGGTTGTTGCAGAATAATCGCAGCTAGTAGTGTCTGTTACGACAGCAAGGAGGGAGGCGGCCTGCCGTGGGCCGTAGGAGGGAAGCCGTGACCATCAGAATTATCACAACCATCATCATCGTCATCGTATCCCTAGGGATCACAAGCGTTGAGGTTGCCGTCATCACCATCGCCAGCATCATCATCGTCGTCGTCGTTGTCATCATGATCATCGTCAACGTAATCGCTATTGCTCATCCATCACTATCACCGACGCCACAACCACCGTCATCATCATCTTCTTCTTGACCAGCATCGTCCTTATCGCGATTGTCATCGTGATCGGCATCATCATCAACATCAACACTGCTATTATCACCAACATCGCCAGCATCTCCATCTGTATCTCCATCTCACTATTCATGTTCACTCTCAATTGATCCTGAATCATCATCACCATCGTCATACTCGCTGTCGTTATCAGTGCCTCTCTCTGAACATCGCCACTGCCATCGATTCATTTGCTTAAGCAGTTGCTGAGCAGGAGCGGCCATCAGAAGAATGGAGCTGCGTGCCAAGCGTAATGTAATGACCATCGAAACAGTCCTAGTGCTCCCTCCACCATCAGGCAACATCATTAAGCGTCGTTTGTACGTGCATTCAACTCATGACAGCGATGCTCGCAGTCGTAGGCCAAGAAGCAGCGCGTTGGCGCAGATGTGAAGCCAACAGCCTGCGGCCAAGCCAACCGATATGGAGCGCTGTGTGAAAGACTTGAGGTTGTGGGTTCAGGAGGTTTGGGCTTCCGTATTTGCTGTTTGCAGTTTTCTTTACATCATGAGGGCCCGAAGTTGTGGTTCGTGTTGTTGTCGTCACTTTGGGTCGTCCCCGTCTTCGTGCTGCACCATTGCACTCAGTGTGGCTTTTGATCGCGCCGGGATGTGTCACCCTTTCCTTGGCAGCAGGACTGCGATGCTTGTGGCGGTAAGGTTGGTGCTTGTCCACTGGTGGTCCGGCAATGGTGTGGTGGCAGTGGTTGTGGTGGTGCTGCTGTTGCTGCCGTTGGCCGTTGGCGATGAATTTGTCAGCGGTGTTTGATGTCATCGCTTGCGAGGTTGTTTGGGATTTTAGATTATGCAAGAACCCTCTACGGTACGCTTTTCGCCGGAAGGACTTTGTAACCTTCTCAAGCAAGCCCAATTTTCCCAATCTGTCGCGCTAGTTGCTTGGACGATGACACAGTGAGGTCTCGTTAGACGATGCCGCACAGAAAGCAGCCGACCGCCGCTGGGAGGCGGAGCCATAGGTATGGGTATGCAGAATCTCGTTATGGTTGAAGGTGAGCTGGAATGTTTAGGTGTCTTGGTACCGAGCTTCTGAGCATTTTTCAGAGATTCGTTTTGCATTCTTCTCCATTCACAAGCGCTACCACAGAAGGATTCATCAGTCATCTCCGTGCATTCAGTGAAAGCCTAGCCTCGCCAAAGAATGTCGGTCCTGCTTGAAGGCGGTATTAAATAGGACAACTTTATCCCCCAAGCAACCCCAGAAAGTACATAGGAGCTCGTAGCCGGTATGTGAAGTCAGATTTCGGTTGCCGGCTTGTGCCGCTTTGAAAGCATTTGGTTCTAAACTCTGAGCCCGGAACAGCACCCAATACTCCAAAATCGCCACTTCCTACACATCTTCTGGTCATTGATGTTCCCTTAACCCTTACACCCTGAAACCTAAACCCTAAACCCTGAAACCCAAAGACCCTAAAACCTTAAGCCCGTTTCACGGAGTCCTCACCCCCCTTGGCGACCAGGTAAAAGACTGGAGTGACACTTCCGCCATTGGTCAGATGCTCAAAAACGGGATTTAGGGGTTGAGGTTCAGGGTCAGGTTTTCAGACTTTTTAGGGTCTCCCATCCCGGCAGTGAAATTTAGGACCCCGGATCCAGGGTTTCTCACTGGCCCAGGCAAGAAGGAGACAGGCCTAACTGGCAATGCCTTGTGTACTTGGAGGATCGTAGGACTTAGTAAGTAGGTTATAATTGGGGTTATAAGTCCCCTAAGTGGGGTTATCCGGATTATAACCTACTTATAACCTTACTTACTAAGTCCCATGAGCCTTCAAGTAAGACACCCTTCAATTGCGCTGCCTCGCTTGCCTCCAGGCAGCTTTTCGAGACCAGGGTTTGGGTTGCTGGATCGCGGACTTTGCCTGAAGGGCTTGGGGTTTAGGATTTAGGGATGCATGGAAGCTTAGGGCCTTCTTTCGTGTGTCTCATGGCCTCTGCAGCCCTGCATGACAGTTTGCTGTGCGATTGCTGCGCTACATTCTCTGTTTCTGTGACCTGCTATTCACTAGACCCTGTACCCTGTATTGTTACTCCATGTTTTGCGTTGCTATACGCCACCATACGACTTGACTAGCCGTGCTGTGCGACAGCAGGGTACGGAATGCGGCTTGTTTCAGGCTTGTTTTAGTCAGTCCGTGCGCAACCACTAGCGGATATGTATATATATATATGTATATGTATATATATATATATACATACATACATATATATATATATATATATATATATATATACATACATATATATATATATATATATATATATATACACAAGCATCTCGGGAGCTTGGTTCTTGTTCTGACCTTATTTCTGTCCAACCTGTGTGTTTCCTTCACAGTTACGTACGGTAACATACACCCCCAAAGCCCTGCACCAGTTCCCCCGTGTCGCGTGACAAGATTATCTGGAGGTCCCTCTGAGCGCACCGGCAAAGCACCCGAGCTCATGAAGGAGGCTCCTTGCCCATGGTTTTTGGTCCCAGTGGGGTTTCCGACAGTGAGCCATGTTTTTGAATCCTAAACTCCAGCTCGGAGCCCCTAAACAGCCCCTAAACTCCATTTTCGAGCCCCTAATTAAGCCCTACCCCAAAGGGTCCAAGTACCAAAATAGTAGGGTTCCAAGTTTCAAGGTCCAGAAACCTGTCGGAGTATGGATTTTGGGACCTAAAACCCTACTCTATTTGTTTACTTGGACCCTCTGGGTACTTAGCCAGAGTCCTGGGCCTGACGCCTCGGTTGTGTAGTGGGGGCGAGGGTGTCAGAGGGAAAAAGTTGCAGGCCGACGACAAGAGCGGATGTATCCCTGGCAGAGCACTTTTTGGGGGGCTGGGCTTGGAATGCAGCTGCCGCACATGCGAGGGCGGGCTGCTGTTGCGCCTGTGACGGCTTGTGAAACCAAGGACCTCGACCTCCATGATGTAGATCTCGCTAGAGTAAGAAGAGTCTCTTCACCGGAGCCCTAAACCCTAAACCCAAAACTCCTAAACCCACATGTCCCCCAACCGTCCCATGTCCCTGCATCAGGAAGGAAAGGTCTTCGACATCAACGAGCTGGCCCTTCTGCTGCAATAATGGACCCGATGGCCCTCAGTCTTGGCACCCCCTAAACCCTAAACCCTAAACCCTCACAAACTCGGGTTAGGGTTTAGGGTTTAGGGATGCAGGGCTTACGGTTTAGGCTTAGCATTGGAGGTCTGGGGATTTTCGAGCAAGTGGGTGGAGCGTAGGGCGTCAGGATTACCGTCGAGGGATTGGGGTTTGCACCCCGAACATCCTAGCAGCAAGATTCAAAGGGGGAAAGGAGGGACCCTTAATGGGGACGCCTACCCTATAATGGGCTATAAAATGGGTATATAATGGCTATATCAAGGGTATATGCCTAGGGGTCCCCATTTTCCCCTTCGAAAGATGCTGGATCGTGGAAACGTGTTTCAGCCTGATTCTTCGGGCTGCACAGTATTCGTTTCTAGCTCATAATACCGTCGTGGTTTTCTAACCCCTACCCCCCTTAAACAAATAAATATCTCACGGCTTCGTACGCTAGAACCGGCTACTGACCACATCTTCAAAACCCTTACCCTGGAACTCCAAATAGCCCAAAGTAGGTACTATTTATAGATTTCAGACCCCAAGGTAGGTACTATTTGTATACTTGGAGCCCTGGGGTTATACAACCTTTCGGTCCACAAACCCCGTACCGCCAACTCTTCAATCCTGAACCCCAAACCCTAAACCCTTAAACAAAAACAAACTCTGAATATTAAGGCCCCTGAGCCATAGAACCCTACTTAAAATAGATCCCTTGTAAACTCTTATGTCCTGCACCATGAACTTCTGCTTGGCCGAGGATGGAACGGCTCAGTGGCGCATGAAGAACTACGGTACTGCGCATTTCCGAGGCTCCCTCCCCCGCTTCCCAAAGGGGTCCTACGGTTGATGATATAAATCCTGCATGACCCATAATAAGATATATACCATAATTCCCATAGTTTAGGGTCTTTAAGGTAATGCAGGATTTATATCATCAACCGTAGTCCTAGGTATTCTTATGGGGGATACTTGCCAACTGACAATCATGAATCCCAACATAGAAACCCTACATGCTACTATCTAGGTGCTTAGGACCTTTTGAGGTTGGCATTAGAGCAACAGAAGATGACCCTCAGAAGAGTACAAGCTTTGCTATCGCCACGTGCACGACTTTATTGCCTGTCCGCGCTGTTCTTTCAGTAGTAGTAAGAGCAACGGAAATGACAGCAGCAAAAATGCCATCAATAATGCAGCGCAAGAGTTAAGAAATATTGAAACATCGGGTAATTAGCGGGTTGGCAGATCTGATCTTGCCCTGCGTTGCTCAGTCCTTGTGTCCCTTACGTGAGTCCTCCGGCGTTGCGGCTTAGGGTTGAAGGTTCAGCCTCAACGTCGTACCCAAAGAAGGACCCACCAAAGCTCCTAAATGGGAGTTTCCGAAAATAGGAGACCCTAATATCGTACCCTAAATAGTGGGAGCCTTAGTATAAGGACCCCCAAATACTAATGTTCGGAAACTCCCAAATCCTGCATCCGCTCTGGGAGGTGGTGAGAACTACATGAGCAAGGAAGAGAAGAAAGGCCTCTCGGGTCTTCGATGCCACGCGTTTAGGGCTTAGGGTTTAAGGTATAGGGTTTAGGGTTTAAGGTTTAGGGTTTAGGGTCAAAGATAGATTCAGGTTCTGATTTAGGAATGCTTCCTACGAATAAACGAGTAGGGTTTCGGCTTGCTAGCAGAAGACGCCCACCCCGTTGCAGCTGCAAATCGTATCCTCGAAACCCGGAATACCAAGGCCTAGATCCCGCACCCTGCATCCTAAATCCCTCGAAAAACCTCAGCCGGACAAGTAAGTGAAGACTATCTTCTCTTCACCCCAAACACACCTATAGAGAACCAGCTCAGATTGGTTTTGGTCGTCCAAGCTTCTTAGCTTGTTGGAAGCGCTCAGACTGTTCGGTTCCTCTTACTTTTCCTCCTCCTAGCATTCCTACTCAAGTTCCAGGTTTCCTCTGCTTCCTTCGTTCATCTAGCTTGTTTCGGAACGTATTCATGTGGATGCTAGATCCTCCTTCTCCTTGCCAGACTCTTCTCACGAGCTGTTCATGTTGCGTGCAGTCTGATCGGTCTTGCTACTTCGACTCTCGACCCTTTCATCGCCAAGGTAGTTGGCATTGCTTCTTCTACATCTGTGACTACTTCCTTTCGTTCTCACCTTTGCAGCATTTGCATATTGCTTCTAGCTCCCATGTCTTCCTTCATGTGGCCACTCCTATGCATTCGGATGCCCACCAAGCTAGTTCAACTAGCATCGTTTCAGTGAAACAGCGACTAGAGAATGTGACTCTGGTCCAACCTCGCGCCTTCAGAAACCTGACGATGCCGAGTAGTTTGGTCACATGAGAAATATAATAGTAACATCACGGTGATATCAATAACAGTGCTGGCAATGACGTTTGTACAATCAATTACTAGCATTGTGTTCAAGCAGCGGTGCTTGAAAGCAGAAAACGAATCGCTAGTCTTGGACCTGACGAGAGATGGGTCCAAACCGAAATTGCATTCTTCGTATCTTGGAACACTGAGGCAACCCCCCCTAAATCTCCAACCCTTCAACCCACAAAGCCCAAGCTCGAAAACTCTAACACCCTCTACTGCACCGGGAGGTGTGAAGGGCAAGAAAGGCAAAGGAAAGGGCAAGAAGGGCAAGGGCAAAGGCAAAGGAAAAGGAAAAGGTACGCCATGGGGTTTGGCAAGCGGTATAGTATTTGGGACATCAGGATTCTTGCGTGTCGGGTTTCGTGTTTGGGGTTTAGGGTTTCATGTGTTCTGTATTGGTGGAACTTTATGAATGCTTCAGGGTTTACATGGTTTAGTAGTCTCTGAGAGTTCGGAGCCCTAGGGCCTCTGCACATCCTCAGTTGCAGGATGTTTAGAAGACCCGGTTCGGGGTTTAGGGTTTAGGGTCTCGAAGTTTAACGCAAGCAGAGACGGCTGACCCCTGAACCTTCGATTCAAAGCCCGTCATCCTCAAACCCCAAACCCCAAACCCAAAGCCTAAAGAAACCCTCAAACCGTAACGCCACAAACCCTGAACCCTAAGCCCTGAAACACTAAGCCCGTTCACCCACGACCCCTTCATCCGGCAACCCGAAACCGCCCAGAAAAAAGGCGCTGAAACCGGAATCCTACATGCCCGTGAGGCTTAGGTTGGGTTTAGGAAGTTTAGGGTTTAGGGTTTAGGGTTTAGGGTTTAGGGTTTAGGGTTTAGGGTTTAGAGGCTTAGGCTTGTGAAGCTTAGGGTTTCGGGTTTAGGGAGCCATTTCATTCCGAAGCCTTAAACAACAACGACTTTTGATGGTTTGGGTTTGGGGTAGGCTGGCTTGAAGCCCTAGCATGCCTAGGGGGTAGGGGTGTCAGGGTGGCGCGGCCTTTGTGTGACGGCACTTGTAAGGTTATCAGTGCCTTGATTTGGCTAGAAGTATTTATATGCAGAGCTACCGGATGTATAACCCTAACCTGGACCCCCAAAGTATTGAGAATAATAGGCTTTTTATAGATATTGGGCCATTAGTTTTACTTACTTTGGGGGGTTTAGGAAGTACTGTACCAAGTCGCCTGATCCTCCAAGTAGTCTTCTCAGACGTCCTTGTGCGCGCTTGTAGATTGTGGATCAACCCGAAGCTCGTAAACGCTCAAAACCCCAAGCCCGGATGCTTACTTGGTGGATCATGTGACTCAGTAACTAGGGTTATAAAGAAGGTAACTATACTTATAATAATATAACTACTTCTGACCCCAAGTAGGGTACTTATAACCTTACTTACTAAGTCCCCTGATCCTCCAAGTATATCTCTGTCTACAAGAGCAGTGATGTCTAGGTAGGCCACCGTGACATTTTACATGTCTCCCACAGGGTTCATCAGGATCTGACTGAAGATGTTTTATTAGAGGCGGTCTACGGGCCGACCTTTGTTAACTCCAACTGCAGGCAAGAAGCGGAAGAAAGGTGAGGATGACGAAGACGACGGAGACGAGGTTTGATGCGCTGGTTTGGGTTCGTTGGGTCCTGTTTGTGAGCAGCGAGGCAAGCTTAGGTTGAAGGGTCAAAGCGGGATTCTACTTTGGGGTCTCGGGTGAGTTAGCGCTTTAGGGCTTATGGTCGCTTCTTCATGCAGCCTGAATGATAAGATATGTCCGAACTCTATCTGCCCCATCACCACCATCCACTACCCTGATGCACTTTGATCATTGAAGCATATCTTCGCAAATCTGTGTATTCCGTGTCGTGGCTGTGTTGAAATGCTGAACGAAAGCAGGTAGTGTAGACAAAAACCAGAATGGAGTATGTGACTTGTCACAGCTGACCATCCATTACCTCTTCAGTTGCAATCTGTGGTTTGTTAGCACCTGAGCCAGCATCCTATAGAGAGTCCAGCCAGGCATGAGCAAGCGGCCAACCAAAGCATTGCCCTAAAACGCTAAGATACGGGGGGCCTAAATAGTTACCTATACTATTTTGGGGGTTCCTTATCATAATCATAGTATAATGGACCCCAAAACCCTATTCTAATTATGAAGGCCCCTACATTAAACCCTAAAACTTCCTGCCTTTCCTTCGAAGCGGAATAAATCATAAATCCAACCGGAAGCCTGGACATGCTCTTCCTGCGTGGGCATCGCTTTGCCCTACTTCTGAGCCCTCAATACCGAACTTGCCCGAACTCCGATGAACTCCGAGTGACTGTTGCTGAAAGCCAGGGAGAGTATGAGGAGGGCGACGAAGGGGAGTGGGAAGAGGAGGGCGACATCACTGGAGACGAGAAAGGCTCGCTTGAAGACTATGGGCCGATGCGGCGCTACATCCCAAACTTGTTATCGATTCGGGGGTAATTTGAAACTTCCCAAAGTGTTTAATATCTAGACTCCTTCATGTCGGGGGCTGTTGAAATCGACAGATGGTAAAGACCCGAATCCCAAGAACTCACCCTCCGAAACCCTAGGTTAGTTTTCCTTTGTGCTTAGGCTCATGGGTGTAGTGTCCGGAGTCACAGAATTGAATCACCAGCTTTCGCGATCCGTTTATATCAGAGCACCTTGTAACTCGCGAAACCCTGATCACCCCAAACTCCGAAAGCCTCAGAGCCAATCCTGACATCTGGTTTTAGGGTTTTCGAGTTCAGCCCTTGGGGCATTAGCGGCTGGACTCAAAGTTCAAGTCCCCAAGGGTAGGAGCCTCGTTGAATTATGGAGCATTCCGGGTTCTGGTACTGGTTGCAGTGTATACTACTCGCAAGTTCTGTTCCAAAGACTTGGGCCCCAAGTAGTAGAGGGCGCGCGGTGTATGCCAAATAAGAGTATCTTTGAATCTCAAATCCCAGAACCTGGTATCCCAGCAAAATTTATCCCCAGCCGCCAGATGATGGCGAACCGGGTGCTGGCTGATCTACTCGAGCAAAAATGCCTCAGCGCAGCGTCTTGCGACTGACATCTTTAAGGCCAGGCCTAAATCCTAAGTGCACCAGGCTATCAGGGTTCATCACATTATTCCCTAAGCTTTAAACCGTAAGCCCCAAACGCCTCCAGCACAGGGCTGTGTGATTTGATGAAAGGCCCAGGACTGAGAAAGAAGACCGGGCTTCGAGTTTTGGGGCTCCTGTGTTTGTCATCGAAATGGTTCCCAAAGGGTCCAAGTATCATCATGGGACATACTTAGACCCCCAAAATGCCCTATGAGTATATACCAGGATGATACTTGGACCCTTTTGGGGTTTGGAGTTTTGGGTTGGAGTTCAGAGTTCCGGTTGCTGTGTGACTGATGGGCAGCTGGGTACAGGGTATTGGGTTCTTTACAATATGTGTGCGATATACGCAAGCAGACACATCAAGGTCGATGGATAGGTGTGTACACACAAGTCGGTAAGTATTTAAGTATATAATAAAGACAGAACTGTACATTGAAAGGTGCACTTAACGTTCCGGTGATATCATGCCGCCAGGACCCGGACCAACAGTGAGCTATGCAATGAACAGTGACTACATAAAGCGGCTCAGGGTTAGGGTTTTGAGCTTAGGATGTTGGGTTTCGGGTTGGTGTTTAGGGCTGAAGTGGTGAAGCTTTGACGACGGAGTAAAGTTGTGGTACTCGTGGTGTTTGTGTTTGCCGCGGCCTGGTTGGTGGTAATGGATGTAGTTGCCGTCGTGATCGTCGAAGCCTCGGTCACACATCCGAGTCAAGGTGCGTCGTATTTCTCTTGCCGTGTCGTTGTTGTTGGCAACGGCAAAAGCAACCGGTGTGATTGACGTCGTCGTGGCCGCCGTCGAAGTCTGACGATGGTGGTGACTCGTTGCTGTGAACGGACAGACGGGGTCATGACCGCCAGCTTAGCCAGCACGATTTGGAACAAAGCGAACTAGCATGAAACAGCCTGTTCTTTGGTCTTAGGAAACTTCAGATGTATGTATAGGCATCGTCTCTCCTATTACTAGCCAAGCCTGGCCACTAAGCATCCCGTATTCATGTTTGCAAAGCCCTTCAAACCCATAAACCCTACCTTAAGCCGGAATGACATACCTTTTCAAGGACTTATATAAGGAAATCATAATAGGGAACCCTAAAAAGGTAGGTTATGCAGGGTTACTAGGATGCCCAGTAGTACCCTTATTCCTTTTTTGTAGTCCTAGGTTCCTTAAAGTTACCCAATACCAAAAAGAGAGGCCTTTTTATTACTGACATGACCGCTCTTTGAGACTTGTAGAGGCCTTTTTATTCTTAGGTTACTGGGTATCCTAGGTTAAGGTAGGCCCTAAACCCATCCCTGCAGCGGTCTTCTCGCTCGCCTCCTCCGGCTCAGCACGTGGGCCGAAAACCCTCTGCCCTGTGAAACTGAAACTTGGAGTTAGGGTTTAGGGTTTAGCATCTACCTTTGGGATACGTGGTTCCTTATATACCGCAACTTCACCACTTTTGGCATCCCCGACTCGAAGTAAGTTGCCCTTGGAGAGGCTTTAAACCTAGCTTTCTTGCTTTCTTGCTTGCTTCTCGAGTGGCAACCTGCGCCATAGAGACTACTCTACATCGGAGCCGCCAAATGAATCTTAAGAGCCGTGCAGCAGTACTGCCCGAATTACATTTTTTGCGGGCATAGCAGCACAACGAATTAGAAGCCCGGTTCGCACTCCGCACGGTGGTGCCGGATCCAGATGTCGCAAAGATCTCAGACCGACCGCAGGAAGTGTCCAGGTTTCTTTTGCAGTTCAGGGTGCTTTGGGATGTGCTGTTTCCGATCTTAGGCTTTTCAGTAGTGCGGAAGACACCTATGATCACCTACGAAAATACGACATTCATTTTAACAGAAATACCTACTGTAATAACAATAATATTAATACTAACCATAAGTTAATTGGAAATAGTACAGTTGTAATATTAAACATTGGTGTTTACTTCCGGGGTCAAGGAACTCAAAGCTGTTTTCAACAAAGCCAACATCCCAAACTTGCTTGCCCTATCTCTACCCATAGGCTCCATAGTGATTCCTTTTTGGGACCCCCTTATGGGATTCTAAATATGAACCCCGAAAAGGAACTACTATGGAGCCTCTAGGTAGCTACACTGCCGCAAGTCGACATCCCGCCCATTAGGCGTTTCAGGCTTTCGAGTTCAGGACTTTGAATCTCTTGTCGGGTTGAGGGCCTAACCATTGTGCTTGGAGTCTAGGTTCCACAGTTTGAGCCCCTGAACCCTGAACTCCTAAACTCTTTTGAGTAGATTTCGAGCTACCGGGCTTCTCGCGCAAGATGCAAACGCTGAAGCTCCGAAGACCGAAGCGCTAGATTCCTAAGCGCCTAGTGGCCTAATTCCTTAAACCCAAACCCTGAAGCCTAAACCTGAAAAAATCTATTCTTGAACCCCAAAGCTTTGTTCAGACGAGGTGGAAAGTGCTACTGCTCCTCCTGGCCACTGGGCGAGGCACGCAGCTGCAGACAAGTACGAAAGTGAAGGTTAAAAAGTGGGTAGTTCTCCGAATTAAGGTCCCTTCGAGGTCCTTCCCATTCTTCCTTCCCAGTAGTCGTGTTATTATTGCCTCTGTTTATTGTTATGGACCTGTTATGGAGTTACTGTTGTGACGTTTGCTACTATTAATGTCATTTTAGCTGTTACTGTTACTTGCATTATCATTGTTATGGTTGTTCCGGAGCTTATGACTGCGATACTTCCTATGATTGTCATGATTGTTTTGACAGTTGCTATTGCAACTGTGATCACTGTTGTTATTGTTGTTTCCGTTCTTGATGCCACTATCGACCTGAGGTCATTAGCAACGTTGTTATTGACATTAGTGCTATAAGGTGGCTTAGTCTTTGTAGTCTAGGCCTTGGAAAAATCAACTCCAATCTTGCAAGCAGCTTTAAAAATCATGTTTTGACGGTCCGGGGCATTTAGGACTTCGGATTTGATGCTAGATGGGGGCTTAGTGTCAAAGATTATAGGTTCAGGGGTCGTCATGCCTCAAACCCTAAACCCTAACCCCTAAACCCCAAACTCCTAGACCCTGTTAGCTCACGGGTCAACATTGTAAGGAAAGCCAAATGCACAGTAATATCGGGGCATTCATGGTTGGAATAGCGCTTTTGGAGGTCTAGCTTGGCAAAAGTACATAATGAGGAAGCCTACGGCACAGCATTGGTTTCTCAAGCATCTATCTTACTGCTTCCAGCTCGCCACATGTTCGAAAGTCCGTCCCAATGTTTGCCTAAACTCGAAACTTTACACTCGAGACCCTGAACTTTAAACCCCCAAACCGAACTCTTTGAGGGTTTTGGGTTTCGGGTTTAGGTTTGGGGGGTTAGGGTTTGGGGCTTAGTTTAGGGTTTAGACCCTGAAGCCTTAAGCCCTACGTCCTGAGAGCTAAACTCCCTCCACGAAGTATTCAGGAGGAATCAAGTGGGTTCAGATCTTCAGAGCTGCATCTTGGGCTTTCGCATGACTATCCTGGGATATTTTGACAGGGTGTAATTTCAGTTCGCAGAATACAGAAACCGTGTTAGTCGCTATAGATCCCTTCCATGGTAATCCCGGCCCTTGACACGAACCCAGTATCACTATGCAGAGCCTTGTGGCAGCAGGTTGCCAAGACGACTCCTGCGATGCCCAGGAGAGGGTTTCAGTTTCGTCTCGGCTGTATTCTACACTATAGTGGCTTAAATAAATACATATACTATTCTGGGGGTCCCTTGTCATAACTATACTATAATATCCCCAAAACTCCATGGCTGATCCTAGAGCCATACTGAGATGTGTGTCCTCTGCTTCTCGGGACCTCGGGACTGACCACTGAACTCTGACCCAGGCCAACCGCACAGCCAGCTCCGGAGAGCTGTGCACACTTAGCAGTCTTCATGGGGGTCCTGAACCTCTAAACCCTGAACTGCCCGTGAAATTTACGGTCTCCACATTGTAGGTTGATCATGGACTTTTGCAGCATTTTTTGCACAATGAGCCCTCGATCCTGAAACTCTACTGAGACACCTTAACTACCCTTTGTGATACCCAAACCCGAATCCCCTAAACCCTAAACCCTAAACCCTAAACCCCTAAACCCTAAACCCCTAAACCCTAAACCCCTAAACCCTAAACCGTTCTACTATTGAGGACCATCATGGCTCTTTTCAGGCCACCTTGCAGGATTACAAGGATCCTCAGGTCACTCAAAGGGAACTCCAGAAAGTTGGAATATGGATTAACCCTGGGGCTCCAAATAGCCCAAAGTAGGTACCATTTATAGACTTTAGACCCCAAAGTAGGTACTATTTGTATACTTGGAGCCCTGGGGTAATGGTAGGATCCCCTATAATTTACCTCAAAGGGGTTACGATAATGATATTCCAACTTTCTGGCTTCTACTGTAGGTTATACCAGATATTGGTAAATTGAATCCTAATACAGTTTCTGTAAAGTATCCTGCAACAGCACCATCGGCCCTAATCAGTAGTGCTCTCGAGCCTTCTTCGGTTCTGGGATGAGGGTGTTTAGGTACGGGTTACGGGTTTAAGACTTAAGGGTTTGGGTTTAGGTTTTGGGGTTTTGCAGAGAATCAGTGCCGATCATGAGTGTTTGAGCATGAATTGCTGTGTGTGCACAGATGCGACAGCATGACGACATGCGGACTGACATTGGCTCAAGAAAAAGGCGTGTGACCTAAATTCGGAGTGCGATTTGAGGGTTGTGATTTATGTCTGGCCCCGCACAAGAGGCCCCAGGGCCTCCAGATCACGATGGTTTTAGCGACCTCCCTGCTGGATATCAGCAGGTGATGAGCCCAAGTGGCGGTGCTGCGCAGGCGACTGGACCTCGACATGAACAAGACCAGAGGCCGAATGGAGTAGCTCCACGAGTCGGTCAGCCTATTGCGACAGAACCGGACTACGCTAGAGCCCTCGGGGTT